TGCAGGGGACACAGGTTTGTGCCCCGGTCTGGGAAGATCCCACATGCCGCGGAGCGGCTGGGCCCAAGAGCCATGGCCGCTGAGCCTGCGCGTTCGGAGCCTGTGCTCCGCAGCGGGAGAGGCCACAACAGTGAGAGGCCTGCGTACCGCAAAAAAAAAAATAATAATAATCTAGTGTACTTTCTTCCATATTTTTCTCTATACCCACATAATTTAACAGATTTCACACACACACACACACACACACACACCAAGGCTGGAAGTTTCTTTTTATTGTGTACTTTACAAAAATGGTATCACAATATACAGTTTTCAGTATCCTCCTTTTCTCATCTACTATTATCTTGATAAATTTATTGTCAAGTACAATACTGGTTAAGTTATCTCTCCTGGTCCTGCTGCAATCACTCCCTTAAACTAGCTAACCTCCAAGAACCAGAGCTTTTGAGACAAATCCACAAAATTATTGCAAATCTTGCGGTAAATAAATCATGCTATACGATAAAGATTTGTCTATTTTTCAGGGAACATTGGAGCATGTGATCTAATTCGCATATACTTATTTACTACTGAGATAAATGTTTTTCATGGGGGGGAAAATCATAGCCTATTATGGCTATAAGAGACCCTAGAGACCATTTAGTCCAGTCTTCTTTAAAAGACAAAACACCATATACATTCCCCCAGTGGCATAACACTAACTCTTATTCTAAACAACAAAGGAAGTGGTATAAAATCACTCTATACTCATTTACTTTGGCTTAAAATTATGCACGACTCATTATTCTGAAAAATGGTAAATAGGGAAGAGTCAAGCATTTACCTTACTATTCCTATGCGAACTATACCTCAGGGTAACCAAACAGTTGGTTTGGTCCACAGAAGATTGTAAATTTGAGAGGTTTCTTGTGGCCCTTTTTAAGTGGTTCTTAACTGGTTTTAAATTTTTGGATGAATATTGTCACCCATCAGAGAAATGCAAATCAAAACCACAGTTAGATATCACTTCACACATTCTAGTGATGGCTGTAATGAAAAAAAGATAATCATAAGTGTTGGCAAGGATGTGGAGAAATCAGAACCCTCATACGCTGCTGGTGGGAATGTAAAAGGGTGAAGTGGCTATGGAAAACAGTCTGGAAGTTCCTCAAAAGGTTAAACATCGAGTTACCATAGAATCCAGGAAGAAAAGAAATGGAAAACATATGCCCTTGGTGGAAAAGAAATGAAAACACATGCCCACACAAACACTTGGACACAAAGGTTTATAGCAACATTATTCATAAAAGACAAAAAGTGGAAACAACCCAAATGTCTACCAAATTATAAAACAAATAAATACAATGTGATATCTACACAAAAGAACAGTACAAGGCAAGGCAAAGAAATACTGATACATGTTATGACATAAATGAATTCTGAAAATATTATTCTAAGTGCAAGAAGCCAGTCTTAATAGACCACAAATTATATGATTCCATTCAAATGAAACACCCAGAATAGGCAAATCTATAGAGACAAAAGTACATTAGTGGTTGCCTAGGGATGGGAGAGGGTTTAGGAGAAATGGGGAATGACTGCTAATTGGTATGGGTTTTTTTACTGGGATGATGAAAATGTTCCAAAATTGATAGTAGCAATGGCTGCACAGTTTTGTGAATATACCAAAAAACATTAAATTCTATACTTTAAATAGGTGGTTGTATGATATGTGAATCAAATCTCAACAAAGTTATTATAAAACAACAACAACAAACACATTCCTTACCTTATGTTTAAACGGTAAACACCGCTGAAGTTTAACTCTTAAGCACAGCCCTGCGGAGGAAAAAAAAAGCCCCAATTATCTCTTCTTATTGGTTCTTGAAAAAGCATACAGCTGTGTCTAGGTGTCTCTATACAAAACAGTAGCTGAAAAGAGCTTAGGCTCAATCCAATATACGCCTCCTCTGAGCCTGGCACCTTTACCTAGCAACTTTAATATTGATACATCTTACGAATTCCTCATGATAATCCAGTGAGCTAGGTATTGTCAATCCCATTCTACAAATTATGAAACCAAGGTCACAGTGTAACTTACCCAAGATCAAAGAGCTAGTAAAATGAAGAGTTGGGACTGGAACCTGAAACCACTGCAAAATGCAGGTCCTTTCTGCTGTATCAATTTGCCTTCCATCAAAGGCCAATTCACTCATTAAACTTTATTGCATACCTGCAACAGGTCAGGCCACACAAAAACTTAAAACCGGGGCTTCCCTGGTGGCACAGTGGATGAGAATCCACCTGCCGATGGAGGGGACATGGGTTCGTGCCCCGGTCCAGGAAGATCCCACATGCCGCGGAGCGGCTGGGCCCGTGAGCCATGGCCACTGAGCCTGCGTGTCCGGAGCCTGTGCTCCGCAACGGGAGAGGCCACAACAGTGAGAGGCCCGCGTACCGCAAAAAACAAAACCCAAAAAACTTAAAACCAAGTAAGAGCCACTTAAAAAGGACCACAAGCAGTCTTCCCTGGTGGCGCAGTGGTTGAGAATCTGCCTGCCGATGCAGGGGACACGGGTTCGGGCCCTGGTCTGGGAAGATCCCACATGCCGCGGAGCAACTAGGCCCATGAGCCACAGCTACTGAGCCTGCGCGTCTGGAGCCTGTGCTCCACAAGAGAGGCCGCGACAGTGAAAGGCCCGCGCACCGTGATGAAGAGTGGCCCCCGCTCGCCGCAACTAGAGAAAGCCCTCGCACAGAAACGAAGACCCAACACAGCCTAAATAAATAAATTTATTAAGAAAAAAAAAAAAAAAGGACCACAAGCAATCTCTCAAATTTGGAATCCTCTGTGCCTGCAGGGTACAAATAGAGTTGTTTCCCTAAAACAAGCTCCTCTGAAGTTCAGTTTATCACCCCAATACCAAGTCACAGTTCAATATTTTTTTTTTTCCAGTTGAGACTTCCAAGAGAAATTAAAAGTCAGCTTGGAACAGAGCCTCAGTGCCAATGTTTCACTTCTCTCCCACCATAAAATATGGCATACAATTTTAACTAAGTCTACACCTCTAGACAGAGAAGATAAACCAAGCTGCTCTTGTTATGAGGAAAAAGTGTTTCAGTAATGAGTTTTTGAAAAATAGGGTCAGAATGAATCTCTAGTTCCCTGGCTTTGCAGGTTTTTATTTAGAGCAATTTATTTCCTCTCCCAACTAATATCAATACATAAGGGCTTGTTACGTTATAAGGAACATTTTCTTAGTATTTTGGTTTGATTAAAAATAAACAACAATAACAAAACCCCAAACATAACACAGCAAAACATAATTGTTAGACTACCTCTCCTTTGGGGAAGTATGAAATTAATTTGCTTGTGGTTTTCTAAAGTACCACTAGGTTTTCTAACAGAATCATCTGAAAAATTCCAGAGAAGGAAAAAGTATTAAATGAGCTACAATGAGATTGGGCCTACCTTAGAGTCTACAATACAGTAATTCCATAATAAATATTAGGGAATTCTAAAGAAAATATATAATTTCCTTAAGAAGGGTCTCCCTTTAGAGTATCTATCTGCCTTAAAGCTTATCTGGAGGGCTGTCCTTCCTCTGCTCCCCCATTGTCTCCTTAATTTGTTTCTTGAGCATCCTCATGTGTTCTAGTCACTGTTGGTAGGTATTTTACCCATAAATAATAACTGTTTTACAATTCACAAAGCGCTTTCTTGTATATCAGTATCCTCAAGATAGGCAGTATAGCATAACTGAGACAGGTAATTTGGGTTCAAAAGTGGCTCCACTACACACTAGCTGTGTGACGCCAGGCAAGTTACTTAACCTCTGTGAACTTCAGTTTCCTTATCTGTTATACAAGTATTACAATAGTACCACTATATATAAGGTTGTTACGCACGAGGAGTAAATATAGTCATGCTTAAAACAGTAGTTGATGCATAATAAGTATCCAATAAATGTTAGCTATTACTATTTTATCATTTTCATTTTACAGCCAGGAACCAAGATGAGTGATTTGTTCCACATGACATAGCTAATATGTGGCAGAGCTGGAAGCTCAATCTAGACTCCAAATCCTATGCCCTTCATATCCTGCCATCAGCCATTCTTGTTTAAGTCAACAGAAAAGATTATCAAGTGGTTTTTCTGCCCTACCCACTCACCCGTTTTGAGTCTTCCTTGTCTTTGGAATGATATACCAGGGTAACTGAGTAGGTGACAACCTAAGCAGTCAGGGTGGAACTCTGACTCAGGTGCCTTTCTCTGCTTAGTACTACCTGCTCATAGGAAATGCCTCCTAATGCATCAGCCAGAAAGAGGACTCCCTTCATCGAGTTTTCCAGTCATGTTGCTTGAACATGATTACTATGATACACTACCATACAACCGTCTCAAAAGCCAATGGTCTTAAATGAAACCCATATCAAAAGGGCCAAAAAAGTGACAATACTCTGTCAAGAGGTGTAGAGATCTGAAATTCAACCATAAGCTAATCTTGACACCTTTACAGTTATTTTTATTTCATGTGCTCTCTCAATCTTTGTCCACGTAAACAGTTTTTTAAAATAACTGCCATCATAACGCAAATTCAATTTATCATTCAAGCTTTTTCATCCACTCTCACACAGATACTTTGATTCCCTGATTATATTCATCATTTTCAACAGAAATAAGAAATGCCATTATTTTTATATCATTTCAGTATTAATCGATACTATAGTTTCTTCCAGGATTTATTATCATAAATTTACTATATATGTTTTGTACATGCTACTATTTTCTCCTAGGGAATTATTTCCTTAATTCCTCGGTCATAGAGTATGAACTGTTTTTTTTGGCTATACCACGCGGCTTGCGGGATCTTAGTTCCCTGACCAGGGATTGAACCCATGCCCTTGGCAGTGAAAGTGCAGAGTCCTAATCACTGGACCACCTGGGAATTCCCAGTGACTTGCTAATATTTACCCAGAGACTTAAAAATATTTCTACCATATGACCCAATAATTCCACTTACAGAAATTTATCCTGAAGCAATAACTAGAGATAAATAAAAGTATTTATGTATAAAGTTGTTCAACATAGTATTATTTATAATTGTAGGAGGCTAGAAGTAGTCTAAATGGTTACAAAAATGATGACCATATAATTATATGACCATATAGTTGACCATATAATTAAACAATAATATTTAAGGAGAACTAAAAAACATTTCTCATCTACTTCATACTTTCTATTACTTAACCCTTACAAGTCAGTAGTTACCCTTACTCTCAGTATTTTACAGATAAGGAAACAGGCTCAGAAAGGTTAAGTAACTTGCCCAAGACCAAAGAGTGACAGAGCTGACAGAGCTGGAATTTTAGCCTAAAGCACACATTCTAATGACAACTTAAAAAAATTTTCTTCTTTATACTTTTGTGGAATTTCAAAATTATTGCCAACAAACATGTTACTTTTATAATTTAAGAAACACAATATAAATATTACTTTCTGAAATCTGTTTTCGATATCTGTTGATTCAGAAACTGTCCAATAACGAAAAATAAGTATGTGTTCAAGAATGCTTTTTCTAGTATTGGAATTTTATAACCACAATAGTATCTATGGATTCACAGACCGTCTAGCCCCTCAAGATGTGCCCCATATGCTGGAAGCCACTACTTGAGGGATCCCAGGTCCAACAAGTGAGAAAAGAAAGACAACTCACAACAATAGTAGAAACAACAATAAAATATTTACCTTTCCAATCCTTTTTATAAATTTGTCCATTTTTAAATAGGTAATATATTCTCAATGTTCAAAAGCTTAAAAATATAAAAAGTTATAAAGTCTCCCTGCCACCCTATCCCCATTCTGACCAGTTCCCACCATCACTAATGCCCACCCCCATCTTAGCTATTCATTTCTTATGTTTTCCTTATGGATATGCAATCAAATATAAATGTATAGTTTTGCTTTTCTTTACACAAATGTAGCACTGTCATACTTGCTTTTATTTCCAAAAAGTATGTCATAGAGATCTTTCCATATTAGTATATGGAGAGCTTCTTCATTCTTTTTTATAGCTGCATAGTATTCCATTGTTAATAAACACCATCTCTGATTATTTAATTGGTTCCCTACTGATCAAGATCTGGTTTGAAATAAACTTTCTTTACCTTCTTTTTAACAAAGTATACAAAGATATCTATTGTATATCTCACAGCTAACTAATCCAAAATATTGGGAATGCAACCTCTCAAAAAGAAAACTACCTGAAAAAATATCCTCCCACCAGGACTTCTGCCCATGCTACATAGGAGCCAAGAGAGCAGCTAAAAGGAGAAGATGGTAAGGACAGCAATGCTAGTCTGACAACACCCATTCCGATCTCCAGAACTGAGGAGAGGAGCTGGCCCACACTCAGGCTCCATTAATTGTAGAGAAGCAGCATGGTATAGCTAAAGGAAAAACACACTTAAAGTCAGGAGACCTGGAATTGAGCCTCAGCTTCATCATTTCCTGCCTACATGATGCTGAGCAAGTCCCTTAAACTCTCTGAGCCTCAGGTTCCTCATCTGTAAAATGAAGATAATATTGACCCTCTCATACGCTAATTGTTGAGAACTACAGAAAATATTCTGTAAACCATAAAGTATGATACATGATGCTAATCATTACTGCGGGTCAGTATCAGCTAGAATAATTCAGAATTAATATATAAATATCTTTATCTAAAACCTTACCAATAAGAGTCGCCAAAGAGCAATGAGGTACTGTTGGCGTGAACCTGATAATAACCAAATAGTCTTCTTCATTTATCTCCTGAACCTCCACACAACTTTCCGTTACCACTTCCAGTTCTTCTAAAGTATTGGGTTTCTCTGGGTCCCGGATAGTTCGAATCAAATCTAAAGAAACATCAGAGAAAAGGTTTTATGTTAAAACATGAATATTCTAAATACAAACAATTTTGCCAGTCCTAATCCAAACACTGACTTCTTTCTGTTTGAGCAAATACTACAGCCACTCCCCAGGTTTCTGACAGAAATTTCCACTACTAGTGTCCTTTTGAGAAAACAATTTTCTTGGATTATTACTACCTCATGTCCAGTTTCTTGGATCCAACCTTGCATAGAGAATACATGAATGGGGAAAGTGTCATAGAAGTTCAAGGGAAAAAATAACTTAGTTTGGGAGAATGCAGTATCGGGATTTATGGAAATGGAATCTGAATCAAGCCTTTAAAAATGGGTAACATTTTGGGGAATTCCCTGGCGGTCCAGTGGTTAGGACTCCACGCTTCCACTGCAGGGGCTCAGGTTTGATCCTTGATCAGGGAACTAAGATCCTGCAGGCCGCACTGTGCGGCCAAAAAAAACCCCCACAACAAACAAAAAACAAAAACAAAAAAATGGGTAACATTTCAATATTTGCCATTTAAGGTGAAGGAAAGTAAAGAACAAGTTTAGTTTGCACGGAACTCAGCATAAGGGAAGAAGTTATTAAGAGTTTAGGCCACAGCCCATTAAGGGTCTTTTAGAGTCAGCTACAGGCAATAGGACGTCCTCAAGAGGTTCTGAACTAGGGAGTGACATGGACAGCATTACACTGTCAGCTGGTAGACTCAGAACTAAAGAGCAGAGCCAGGGATACCAGCTGAAAAAGCTGGGCCTAAAACAGGGACATGACCATAGCAATAGAGAGGAGGGGAAAGACGAAGAAGTAATTTCAGAGGCAGAATCAACAGAATCTGACAACTATCTGGATGTAGAAGACAAGGAAAGGGAGAAAAGGAAGATGACTAAGATTGTAAATCTAAGCGCCTGTGAGAACAAAGACAGAATTTAAAAAAAAAGAAGAGAGAACAAAGGAGGAAATTTGGGTGGGGACTGAGATGAACAGGTTAAATCTTATATATAATCATTCTGAGGTGCTTAAGGGGCAAACCAATGAAACATTCCAGCAAACACTGAATTATGGCATAAGGTTTAAAAGAACCAAGGCTGGAGTGGCTGTTGAACTCATGGGATTCACAAAGAACAATGAGTAGAACCACAGTTTTCAACCTTGGCTGAACAATGGAATCACTAGGAATGTTTCAAAACAAAAACAAAAACTGGTGTCTGAGCCCTACCAGGGATTCTGATTTAATTCATTCACAGTATGACCTGGGCATTGAGACTTAAAAAAATTCTTCAGGCTATTCTTATGGGCAGTCCAGTTGGAGAATCACAAATGTAAAAGGAAAGAGAACCAAGTATGGATCTGTAGGAAGCACCTAATTTGGGGATCAGTAGGAGGAAGAAAAGCAAAATGCAGCATAAAAGGAAAGAGGGGATGGTTAACAACATCAAATGCTGCAGAAAAGGGCCTTCCCTTGTGGCACAGTGGTTAAGAATCCACCTGCCAATGCAGGGGACACAGGTTCGATCCCTAGTCTGGGAAGCTGCCACATGCTGTGGAACTACTAAGCCCGTGCACCACAACTACTGAGCCTGCGTACCGCAACTACTCAGCCCATGTGCCACAACTACTGAAGCCCGTGCACCTAGAGCCTATGCTCTGCAACAAGAGAAGCCACCGCAATGAGAAGCCCGCGCACCACAACGAAGAGTTGCCCCCGCTCACCACAACTAGAGAATGCCCGCGTGCAGCAACGAAGACCCAACACAGCCAAAAATAAATTTTAAAAAAAATGCTGCAGAAAAATGCAGGTTAACGAAAGCTAAAGCAGGTCTCAGAAGGTCACCTGTAAGAAAGCACTTTCGGTAGAGAGGTAAAGGCAGAGGCCAGCTTGCAAAAGGGGAAGTGAGAAGGAACTGCAAATGTAATCCTAGGGCTTTGACAGGGAAGGAGGGAAGAGCAAAAAAAGGACAGTGCATTTAGAAAAAGCTAGAACAATGACAAGGATAAGGGAAACTTGAGTATGTTTTATAGCCCAAGGGGAAGGATCAAACAGAGGAAGGAAAAGAAAAATAGAGGAAGAGCCACTGAAATTTCAAGGAGGGGAGGGGAGGAGGCTGGTAAAATAAGCAGAAAGGAATGAGACCAAAGATGTGGGAGGCTGGGTTGGCGGTGGAGAGGAAAAGATTTCCTTCTTACCCTGAGGTTGTAGAAAAAGATGGAAAAGGAGAATGATAAGAGAAATAGTGAGGTAGAAAAAAGCAGAGGGAGTTCACATGGGACAGGCTTGATGTTCTCAAGCATGAGGTTTTGTTCTATTACTCACAGCACCACTGTAATCAGAAATCCAGCTGGGAAAAACAAATCAATCAAACTCTATTTTCTCCCCAGCAACTCCTGAGCTTATCACTTGATTAGAAACAGAATTTGAAAAGGGAGGCAAGAAAAAGAGGCTTCACAAGGCTGTGAAACACGGGGCTCAGGGAAACAGGTGTTTTTGAAAAGGAATTTTTTCCCTTTCATCCTTTTCCCTGTAAGGCTCATATATACAAGCTGCATTATATTGTTTATATGTTAAATCACTCTGAAATTAAACCTCACGCCTTACTCAACTTCTCTACTTTTCTAGTGATTTGCATTTATTTCTTTAGAAAGAAAGCAATGTTGTTCTCCTCACATTGCTCCCTTGACTTAAATTCTTCTGCTGGCTCTGCACTGATATTAAATTCTTAATTTATATTTAAACCTTCAGGATCCAGTTCCAACCTGCTATGTAAAACAATTTTTGACCACACCTCCCTCCACCTTTAACCACAAACCCTACCTGTACAATGAAGATGGTTCCAGGGGTTGAATAGAGAATATAAGTGTGTGTGCGTATATGTATAATATATGTTATACATATATAACTAACTGTGTATTTTTTTTTGCACTCCAGGCTTGGGTGTGTTAAAGAACTATAAGTTCAAGGCTGGGCTCTTGAGGACCTCTGCTTACTGCTTTGTGGAGATCATTCCACTCACACTTGTCACCTGACTGGGTTTAAGTCCTGCCCCTAGTAAGAGGTAAACCAGATTAACTCCGAAGGTCTTTAACATCCCTGGCTTCTTTCTACGGGTCTATAATCCTTACCTGCATTATCTGTATTCTTGTGGTTATACTTTTACCCTAAGTCAGCAGGAATCTTTGAACGCTCGTTAGATCCAGTCGTTTTAGTTTTCAAAAACAATACTAATAAGTCCAAAAAAGGCAAGTTATAAAGCAATTATGAAGTGATGAAAAGCACACTAAGTTTCGAATCAGAAGACAAGAGCTTTGGTTTTTGCTGTTTCTTTACTGGCAGAGTGGCCTCCAGGTAGTTGTTTAACCACTCTACACCTTTATTTTCTCATCTGTACGATGAAGATGGTTCCAGGGGTTGAATAGAGAATATGTGTGTGTGCATATATATAATATACGTTATACATATATATAACTCAATGTGTGTGTATTCTTTTTTGCACACCAGGCTTGGGTGTGTTAAAGAACGATAAGTTCAAGGCCGGGCTCTTGGGGACCTCTGTCTACGGCGTCTGCAGCAGAAGAGGGTGGCTGTGACCTTGGGCCAGTCCCCAGCTCGGCAGTCACCCAGCAGTACCCTCGGCGGCGGAAGGAGGAGTGTGTGTCCAGGGGCTAGGGAGGAAGGAGGCTCAAGTAGGGCAATCAGGCCAGCTTTGCTTCCTAACCAAACACCCTGAACGCTTGCTCTGCCCATAAGTCTTGAGATAGCCACTAGAACGTGGGGGCAGACAAGGGAAATGAAGCGTTTGAGACCTCCAGGCTCGGCTTGCCCCGGGTTTAGCAAGAGCCTGGGTCCTAGAAAGACCCACATGCCCGTGTGACTTAGGACTCCGGAGAAAAAGCTTCCTACGCTCCCGGACGAGATCTGGCAAAAACCCGAGTCTCCACTCTTAACCCTCAGGTGAGGCCCTCGTTACCCCCGCCTCCACGTATACCACCAAATGCTGCCCTGGGTAAATTAATTACCATAAACTTCTAGCGCTTTCTCTTCCATGATCCGGGGCTGCCGGGCAGCTCCCCGCTCAAAGAGGCCCGACAGCCACAGGACTCTGCTCAGCGTCCAGGAGAGCAGTCCGGACACCCGCTCCATCCTTACGCTCCGCCATCCCTGGCGACTGTCCCACCCGAGCCACCGTCTCTCAGCAGCGAGCCTCGCGACTTATCAACTTCCTGGTCTTCAAACGGGCCAAGAGAAGCCTAAAGGTCCAGGGCAGAGAATAGGCGGGACCGGACGGAGTACCGCGAAGGACCTAGGTAAGGGAGCCATGAGAACTACAAGCCCCAGCATGCTTTGCTCGGTTTCGGCGGAACAAGGGAAAAAAATTCCTAGAGGCCCATGAGGCGCGTTGCGTGCTGGGTCGTATGGGCGTTTTCTTTGGAAGACGGCGAGCTGCAATATGGGATCTGTAGTCTCCAACGGTGGGCGGGGGCAGGTAACGGTCTGTTAACCGCCGTTAATTGCCTCACTCAGCGTCTGGATAAGCTAAAGATGAAACCCTGAAGAGGTAGGGGAAAGGAGATCTTGATTTCTAGTGCTGGAAGGGCGTCTGCACGGTGACGCCCTACTATTATTTCTCCGAGGGGGCCGCTTCCTGTCAAAGTTTTCTTACGTCCTAGTCAGGCCGGAAGTGAGTTTCCGTTGCGGTTAAACGGGATGTCTTTGGAGCCTAGTAAGGATAGTTAGGCGTGGCGGGAGGAGGGGTTCCTTTTTGTTTTCTCGTCTCATAGAGACTCAGGCTAGCACAGCTCCCCACTACGAGCTGAGTATTTCTGCCAATCGCCTTCAAGATAACTTAGAACGAGAGAGCTTTCCGAATGTCGAGTGTGTCCAATAGTGACATTGGAGATCGCCATCCTAAAAAGAACGTCTTAAGTCCTCCGGTTTGGTGGCAGTGATGGATGCCAGTAACAAGGTTGATGATGCTAATTTTACTTTTATCCATCCATCCCTACAGTCAAATCTCAAACGTTTATTCGATACTTAATTTGCCAGACTTGGTCTATAGACGCCAAGGATACGAAGATAGGACACGGCCCTTACCCTCAAGCAGTTCACAGACCTGTGAGGGAGCCAACCCCTGATGTTCAGGAATTTGCAGTTTCGAACAAATGAAACCTTTTGTCAAAGTTGATGACAAGTTTCGTACCATCTCTATTTTATTTTTTTATAAATTTATTAATTTTATTTGGTTTTGGCTGCATTGGGTCTTCGTTGCTGCGCAGGCTTTCTCTAATTGTGGTGAGCGGGTGCTACTCTTTGTTGCGGTACACAGGCTTCTCATCGTGGTGGCTTCTCTTCCTGCGGAGCACGGGCTCTAGGCACGCGGGCTTCAGTAGTTGTAGCATGCGGGCTGAGTAGTTGTGGCTCGTGGGCTCTAGAGCACAGGCTCAGTAGTTGTGGCGCACACACTTAGTTGCTCTGCGGCATGTGGGATCTTCCCGGACCAGGGCTCGAACCTGTGTCCCCTGCATTGGCAGGCGGATTCGTAACCACTGCGCCACCAGGGAAGCCCTCATACCATCTCTATTGAGAGGAAAGTAAGGATTATCTTGCTGAATTATCCCATGATAACATATCCCATTTATCTTTTTTTAAATAGATATTTATTGGAGTATAATTGCTTCACAATACCGTGTTAGTTTCTGTTGCACAACAAAGAGAATCAGCCATATGCATACACATGTCCCCATATCCCCTCCCTCTTGAGCCTCCTCCCTCCCATCCTCCCTATCCCACCCTTCTAGGTCATCGCAAAGCACCGAGCCGATCTCCCGGTGCTATGCTGCTGCTTCGCAGCAACCAACTGTTTAACATTTGGTAGTGTATATGTCAATGCTACTCTCACTTTGCCCCAGCTTCGCCCTCCCACCCCATGTCATCAAGTCCATTCTCGATGTCTACCTCTTTATCCCTGCCCTGCAACTAGGTTCATCAGTACCATTTTCTTTTTTTTTTTTTTAGATTCCATATATATGTGTTAGCATACGGTATTTTTTTTTCTCTTTCTGACTTACTTCACTCTTAATGACAGTCTCTAGGTCCATCCACCTCACTACAAATGACTCAGTTTCGTTCCTTTTTATGGCTGAGTAATATCCTCCCATTTATCTTTAAACTCTTGTCTAGCTGATTAGATTTTAGGCCCACCAGACAACCAGTGAATAATTTAGGTCCCAGGAAGATTTCGTTCAGAGTTTAATAATTCCCCTGCCATCTGTTCCATTCCACTTACTCCACAGCAATTGAGAGGATAATTCTAACTTCCTTGTAATCAAATTTAGGACACTGAAGTCTCACCTCCTCTTTGAGGTCTCCCGACTTCTCCAAACAGAATTGATGATCTCTTTTACTATGCTCCCATAGCACATTATAGCACTCTTCACTTACATGTCCATGTCCCTCAGGCGCCTAGGGGGCCAGAAGCGTCTTTATTTCTATATCTCAAATGCATATCAGGGTGCCAGGCACACAGTAGATGCTCAATATATATTTCTTGAATGAATTAACTAAATGTTGAAAGAATGAATAGCAAAACTTTACTGTATCTGTTCAGAGACCTCAATCAAAAATATTTATTGAGGACTTCACTGGTGGCACAGTGGTTAAGAATCCGCCTGCCAATGCAGGGGACATGGGTTTGAGCCCTGGCCCATGAATATCCCACATGCTGCGGAGGAACTAAGCCTGTGCACCACAACTACTGAGCCTGCGCTCTAGATCCCACGAGCCACAACTACTGAGACCGCATGCCACAACTACTGAAGCCCATGCACCTAGATCCCGTGTTCCTCAAGAGAAGCCACCTCAGTGAGAAGCCCACTCACCACAACAAAGGGTAGCCCCCCGTTCGCGGCAACTAGAGAAAGCCTGCGCAGAGCGACTAAGACCCAATGAAAGCAACAATTAAAAATATAAATAATTTAAAAAATATATTTATTGAAGCTCTATGTAGCCACTGTGCTTGGCATGGGTTGGTGGCACGAAGAGGTTTTCAGACTCGCTTCTTCATCTCCTTAAGAAGCCCGGTAGATAAAGCTATCTAGAGCACAAAGAGCCATTAAGAACATGCACGTCCCCGAGCGCCTCCCTTTCTGTCCTTTTGCCCTGTAGGTTAAGAGCTCAGCCTTGAGACCCAGGGTTTGGATTGGCGGGGCAGGAGCCCCGGGTCGTCCCGCCCCGCCCCCAGCGCGTAGGCCCCGCCCCGCGCGCCCCGCGGGACTGGTAACGGCCATCCCTCTTCGAGCCGCTGGAACGATTTGCTCGCGGCACTATCTCTTTATAAAGTTGTTGTTGCGGCTTCCGCCGTGGGTGGAGGAAGATGGCGTCGGGGGGTGGTGGCTGTAGCGCTTCGGAAAGACTCCCTCCGCCCTTCCCCGTCCTGGAGCCGGAGTCCGAGGGAGCAGTCGGGGGGTCAGAACCAGAGGCCGGGGACAGCGACACCGAGGGGGAGGATATTTTCACCGGCGCCGCGGAGGCCGTGAGTTCGCACCCTTCGGGGCAGGCGGGCGGGCGCCCCCAAAGGAAAGCGAGGCTAAGCGAGGGTTGGGGAGGCTGGGCAGAGTGGGCCCGGCGACACCTTACGTTGGTGACAGTAGTCGTGGCTTAGGTTCTAGATGAGCACCGAGACGTAGGGCCTGGCTTCCCCGCCCCTGGGCGGACGGTGAGGAGTGAGGGATGTGGTGGCTTCTCAGCTGAGGTCCCTGACAGCGAAGAGCCGCCGAGGCGGGCATTTGGCCCTGCCTTGCGGCCCCACGGACCCACGGGGCTGGTTTGCTGGTGGTTTCCTGCCAGGCTGATTTAATAGATCAAGGTAAGGGCGTGGGGTGCAGACTTTTCTTTACCTCGCCTTACTGTTCCAAGGATGGATAATGTTATCTGGAGTTGCCCAGGATAGTGACCTGCCCACAAATCCTTTCGTTAGCTCCATCCTTACCGGTGATTACTAAAGGTCCTTTCTGGATCTTAGTCTAGGAGAATTAACTTGACTCCTTTGATCTCTAGGAAAATCCTGCCAGATGTCGGTTGAAAAAAAGGTCCTGCCAGATAAACCACTACGTAGATCGAAAGCTTTGTCCCTGTTTTTTGTTGGCTAAGTACCTCAGTGGGAGCAAATCTGTAAATGAGAAGAGGAAATGGTGTTTCCCATAGTAATATCCGGGTTTCTTCTAAGAGTTAGGTATTGAAAAAAACTCATCTTTATATGTGGAATGTGGAAATCAATAATCAGTTCTAGAACCAATGGAGATGTTTTGGGGCTGTTTTATAAGAATACTGACTCATACCATTTGGTACACTTAGTTCCAGGTTGAAAACTTCTTCAGTGCTAGGAGTGAATTTATGTTTCTTTCTATCTTGGTTAATGCTTAGCTTCATAGTAGCTACTTAGTATATGAGTGACTAAATAAAACAGCTTTAAATTCTTTATGCAAGCATGTGTCTGAAAAAGTTTGAGGCTTCTCTCATTTAAGTCAGAAAAAGGTTAAGTTTCTTAGCAATGCCTTCTGTGATAATCATTAGATTTTTCCGTATACTGTATTTAGGAATTAAGTCCATAATCCCAGCTCAAAAAGTGTTTGCTGGTGCTTATATAACAGCTCAGACTGTCAAATGAAGTCTCTGTTATTCTGAGAAATAACTCTTGCTGCTAATTTAGCTCTGTATCCCATTTAAAACAAATCTTTTGTCTATTCCTTTAGTAATTCCCTCATAAGCTATGCAGAACAGCGACTGTTGATAACTGCTGAGATGGTAGATAGTCAGACTGAACATCTGAAAACAGAGACTCTGGCTCTGAAAGCAGTTGGTCACATTGGTAAATGATGATTTATTTTTCAAAAAGGACCCTGGAAGTATGAGTTGTTATTTTCTAAAGTTCTCTAAGTAAGTTCAAGAGGTTGTGATTTGATTGGTCTCACCAGATTACTTCCCAGAGGCATCCATACTTGTCTCCTAAGATAGTGAAAATACTTTGCCTAATTTCCATCTAAGGGGAGGAGGAGGGGGTCAGAATGAACTTGTTCTACCACAGAAAGCCAAATTATTTTTATTTAGATTTTGATCCAGGAAAATTGAGTTGCTGAGGGAACTAAAATGCCACCTGTAAGCCATTTTTTAGCAGCCTGTCCTGATGTTAATCTTCAGAAAGCCAAGACCCCAAGATTCCTCACTAGTTAGGCTGTGAATTTTTTGTTAAATAGTCAATACAAATTATATTACAATAAATGCTTTAGTTGTGAGCCAGTGTGAGAAGATGGGTTGCAGTGCTTCTGTATTTTAAGGAACAAGATTGAAGAATAAAGTAATTAAGAAAGTGGGCTTTGAAGCCTGGTTTAA